ATGAGAGATTTGGCTTATCTAAGTCCTGCAGTCTGTGAGTGGGGCACAACACTGTGTGTTGAGGACAATAATCCACAAAGTCAAAGAGGGGATGAGATTATCGAAAGATCCAGAATTCATCCTCTCATTACAGGCATGAGCCAGAGGCTTGTTTAGAAGTGTGGCCTTTATATGGAAGCTGTGGATATCGTACTGGAAATGTAACCTTTAAACAGCTTAGTTTATGGGACTGCAGATGTTGGGAAATGCCTCTGAGCATGCAGACACAGCTACTGGTCACCAAGTGAAAAGGATCTCTTTCAAACTCCTTAGAGGTGCAGGTATTGCTGCACCCAGGCTGCCAGCTGGGAATGAAACATAGCAGACACATTTCTCACCCAAATTTTCTACTGTACCTTCCTTGAACTTACTCACTGAAACACCCCATTGTGAACAGCTGACCTGTTAATGTTTGAGCTTGGATTTTCATATCCGCCTCTTCCCTGAAACTGCAAATTTATTTTATTTCCTTTTTCTTGGTTAAAGACAGTGCATTTAATGGACTTCATTATTATTTCTAGGACTGTGCATGCAGGTTAAATGAAAGTTTGAATAGAAGGAGCCACATAAATAACATTTACATATGGTCACCTTTCTCTGCTCAAGTTATTTGTGAAACTATATTTCTGTGTGCAATTGACTATGTACAAATTCAAGTTGCCAGCTAGGAACAGGTCTCCATTACTTACAATAACCTGACTGGTATCCCTTGATTTGAGTAGAAATATTTTTCCTAGCTTATTCAATCACAGTTCCAGACCAGGGTTAAATACTTAAGTTTCTTGAGGTGGGACACTAGCAGACAGATCGTGTAAGTAAGCCCTTACGTAAAGGAAAAGCCTGGTTCTGCACTGAAATCTCTAACAGGTGACTTGTAGGGCACTGGGCATTTGGGCTTTCCTCTGACTGCCTTTAATTACAAAATGCAGGATTTAGGATATCCTGAGACTGTTGTATTTGGAAACTGAAGTGTCTAACCTGCTAGCAAGCAAACATAGAAAGCCATAGCAAGACACTGAGAAATAGGCTGTTTCTCTCAAGTGTACAATGCTTTAAAGCCATTGTCTCAAGTCACTTGGAAAAAAATGGATCTGTATGCAAGTTTGTATGCTAGCCATGTCAGGAGAGACAAGGATGTCCTTTACATGAAAATAACTATTGACTTCCAATTTATTTACGTCAAAAAAGAAAGGACACTTCTAATCCTTCTGATTAAAACTTCTGACCATTGCTCTGAAATTTCTAAACGTAAAGTGAATGTAATTCAATATTGAGATATCTTTCTATGCCTGCAGCGCCCCTGCTTTTGCTCACAGATTGCCCTGACTACTTCAGAGCAACGTTGACAGGGCTCTGAGTATTAGTGACCCTGATGTGAGTCAGGCAGGTTTCCCAGCAGCACTAACTACAGCATCTACTGTCTGCCAATAGCACATCTTGGGTGACAGAAAGCCTTACACTGCAGCTGAGGTAAAAAATAAACGTTGCAACCTTTCCTTCTCCCTTCTTGCCACTTAGTAGCTCATAGCAACCTGCAGGCCTGTAAATGGCAGGAGAGACCACAAGGAGACAGGCCTCTTCCCCAACCAAAATCAGCATCACTGGGCTCCCGTGGCTCAGTAAAGAGAGCAGAAGCTGAACGGATCAGAGGGGAGATGGATGAATACAGTTAACACACATCTACAGCAATCAGATGCTCTGGATTTACTTCTCAGATTTACCACAGATGCTTCCACCTCTTAGGATCAACTCTCCAACATATGGGTAATACTCCCTTTCCCCTAGCTCCTCTTGCACTTGCTCAAACTGTGATTGCTCATGGGCAGGGACCATCTCCTCTTCTGTGCCTATACAGCTCCACGGGTAACACCTGTCCAGCTCTTGGATGGATCCAACACAGGCTACATGCCGTTCACTGGGTAGGGCTGTGGAAGACAGACAAAGGTAGATCCCAAGGGGACCAATAAGGGGAAGTGAAAGAAGATCAACAGAGATCAGAGAGACCAAAGCCACTAATCTATTATTTCTGTGTGTATGCCATTAACAAGTGACTTTGCGCTGCACACCCTTAGCTCTCCTGTCAAGCTAAGATCCTTTTAAAAGCATGTTTTCAATGAATGCTCATGGAATTAATTAATTATTACATTTCAGAGGAGAATGTTGCTTTATGATCTGTAGCAAGCAGGGTAGACATCAAACAGTGGACAGAAAGAGAAAGAAAAGCATTTTAGGTGCTGCCTAGCTACTGAATACTTTTGCTGCCACAGTGAGAACGCGGACCACAACTTTGCAGTAAAGAACATCTGCTTCATGCTCATCCTGCTGTCCTTTGCACAGGAGTTTTATGTCCCAGGGTCTTTGGGACCTGCTGCTGAAGGCCATATCCTGAAGTGTAGTAAATGAGCCTCCTCTTTGGCAGGAGGTCTAAAGCCCAGATCCCTAACATTTATCGCTGCAGATCTGCATCTCAGCCCACGAAAGCACAAATGCAGAACATGAAATAAAATGATGTAAGCCCTTTGGATGACAAACTTGTTCCTCTGCCCCTCTTCCTAAATGCCCTCTTGCTTGCAAAAGCCAAGACAAAGCTAAAGGCTCAAGGGAAAGTAGCTTCCTGCAGAGAGTAAATCCCACTCAGTATTAGCAGTAGACACAAACAACAGTTGGTAGAACATGGAATGTATTAAGAAATTTCTTCCCCTTGAGGAAGCGGTAACTGCATGCATACAACAGAACATGCAACTGAATTCACAGTCTTTAATGAATGCAGAGACTCGTTCTGGGCACAAGTACACTTCTGATTGACCCCACACCCTCCTCTCCTCCCCCTCTTAAAAATTATTTTAGTTAGTGAAACGTAAAACCACACAAAGACTAGAAGATATATACACACCTTAGAGGGTCTGATATTTTTTCCTTAAGAAACTTCCACGCATTCAGAATTATTGACTGTTAAGCCCAGTCAGTACAGCAGAAATATTCTACATAGATCATTGGTTGAAATGCACGGTACAACAGTTGTGAGCACACTGTCACAAGAGACACCTGCATAAATGCCAACAAGCGTAGTAGATCTGTCAAACCACATTGCAAGCATCTGCAACAAACCAGTCTGGGGAAGATGGGAAATTACCAGAACATGGAACAGAAATGTTAAAGTACATGGGAAGCTCCCACAGTCACTCCTCTCCAGAGC